GCTATTTCATAATATTCTAGGGTTTTTTACATCAGATATTGTAAACACAACTTATTACATATAAAATGATTAAAACTACATAGTGAGACCGTGTGGTTTTCACATCTCCGGAAAAGAGTCCAAGGTATATTTTACGAGGTGGGACAAAAGTTGCTTAACAAATAAAAAATTCATTCTAAAAATATACATATAAGGCTGAAAATAGAATATTTCATCTCCCATTTGATTCATAATTCAATTTAATTTCTCTTCTTCTTGCAATGACAACATTGTTGTAACATCACTATAATAGTTAAGTAGATTAGTATGTCGCGTCACTAAGATGCATTGCACCATTGGCCACACTACTCTGTCGATCATTGTTCGGCTGTCTGTAATACTATTAAGTACTGTACGTCTGTAATATGCTGATTACAATATAATACTAGTCAAATCAAGAAGTCATTTCATTTAAAATAATCACACACAATCCGGTGTCGCATAAAACATAACTAACATTAATACAAATACTAGATACAAAGTTATTGTTGGTAATTAGTCTGACAATTAGACCAGCGCGTTTATGACTGAACACTAATGGAACTGTTGTCCCTCACGGGACGGGTAAACAGGCCAGATGTTGGATACACACACATTTTTAAAGAAACCGTGTATAATTTTGGACTATAATTAAAATGTTGAAACTTATAAATGTTTAGCTTTAATTTTCTGTACATTATAAGTAGGCACAAGCATTTTTAACATAATACCTACGCTATTTAACAGTGGTCAAATGCTCAGTTTACCTTTAATAAAAATATTAAGATGTATATTTTTCACATGCTTATAGCATTCATCCCGTGGATGTTGTAAGAGGCGACTACGCTAGCAAACTACGTCGGGCAACAGCACTGCAAAGAGAAGGAAAACTTGAAACAAACCCTCAACGGATTCGTCTGGCCAGCGTGGTATAGTAGGTAGTAACCAAACCTTTTTAAGGAGTGGCCCATGTCCAGTAGTGGACTATTAAAGGCTGAATATTTACTGACGATAAAAGATACTCACTAAAAGTAAAGCAAACTGATATATTCTTATGTTCTATTTATTGATGACTGACTGACTCGCTTCGAGAACACGCGTATATTGCTCGATTTGTTCACATGCCGACACAATGGTTACGCCTTTTAATAAAATGATTTGGATGTCTGTATTCCGATTCCAGTCAGCATAGGTGATAGTGAATGAGAGTGATAACACAGTGACACGTCATTTTATACATCTGATATGGTTTACTTTTGCATTCAAATAAATATATTAAACACAAGAAATGAACCCAAATTGACACAGAAATAAGAGTCTGTTTTAATTTTGTGTTTTACAAACATTTTTAAGGTATATCGAGTTCACGATATATATATCTAAACACGGTACAATAATAAACACTTAGATAAAACGATATACGAACGACGAAAAATATATAAAACGGTTTATAAATGATGGAATATTAGGATACCCAATTTAAAAAACCATCGGGTCGGTTTTTTGAAGTCGGTTAAAATCACAAAGCACTATCAACGCGCGACTACACGTAATATCTGTCATCTAAAAGCAGTCTAAATTACTGTCAAGTGGCAACAATCATCACTCAAAAGAACTGCGTTTTCTGTCATTAACTATATCCTATCAACAACTTGTTTCAAACATTATTCTTACTTAGTAAATTATATTTAATTCCCAATAGTACCACCAATTCTATGGACGAATAAATAAGCAACAAGCAAATGAATCATTCATGAAATTCCCTCTTCCATCGCCTCTAAAATAAGTCATTATGATGAATGTTCACTGAGTTGACAGATGAAGTGATTGCTATGCAACACTGTTACCTAAAACATACAAGTCATAAATATATTACTTGAGATCTCTGACTATTTCATTTCATACATGAACTTCAAAGAGCTTTTGGCATTAGACTAATAAGTTAGAGAATTCGATTTTACTAGACTAGACTAATAAGTTAGAGAATTCGATTTTACTTTAGATAGGAGAGCAAATGTTTAACAAATTTTATTCGTATTCTACTCGTTAGAAAGTATAAAATTGAAACATAAATTACTGAGATTACCAAATGTTATTTCAAAGTTGCAACTTTAATTTTTTTAAGTTTTTGAATGCATATACTTTACTGCATACAGAATTCATTAACAGTGTTGAAATTTAATTTATTACTTGATACAACACGTCATGTTTCTAATTATTTCTGTTAGGCTTTGGGCATACTAAATAGTCAACGTGGCGATGGCCAGCCGGACCCTAGACTGCGCAACCATTCTACATAACGCACTGGCAACACAATTTTATAATAAAATACCCTTATCTATCCTAAAAAATATAATCATCAAAAATATAAAACAAATATAATCTTGATAAATATCGAAAATTATCTGTGAATTCTCCCGGTATTTTTAAGTATAAAACTATCTGATGTTGCTGGTTCTATTCTATAACTATCTAAATATTCCTGGTTGCAATTATAGAGCTCTTTAAGAGCTGGAGATTTTATTGACCTCTTCGTGGTTGAACGTTCATAAATACAACTTTGCGATAAATTCGGTCACCTCTATTGGTCACGTCTAAACTTCTGTTTGTATATTGAAGACATTTAAATTTTAACTGCTGTGTAGTTTTTAAAGCGGCTTAGAATAGAAAGTTTCTCAGTTCTTGAACATTGAACTGATAACATCACTCTGTTGCTATATCCATGTGTAAGTTTGAGAATCATCATGTATATGTTTAATAAATACGAGTACAGAAACTGTAATAAAACTTCTAACTAAAAACACCAAGATTGCATTACCATGTTAGGGATAAAGTTTTCTACACGGGTATCGGCATCTTTTCGATAAATACCTGACGTAAGACGTTCAACTCTTTGAAATAAAAAAGATGTTTGATAATTTTTAGTCAGAAGTTACCTAAAAATCAGTCAAGAAATTTGAATAATCCAAAAATTCGGGTAATGTCTACTTATGCTGCTGTACCCATTAATAGTTCTCTGGCATTCAGACTAACTTTCGCGACATATATTATGAGAGAGCAATGATTCCCTTCGTTTCATTGTCTGTCACGTCTCTGTTACTTGTCACTTACTTGCAAAATAAACAAAATATCGCTTAACTATTATTATATGAAATGCTTAGTCCGAGACAACCTTCATATAATCACTAGTAGTTTCACAATCCTCGCATTGTGTCATCGCGTGATTTAGAGAGAAGCGAATGCGACAAAAAATCCACACCATGGCAACACTATATTTATACGCCAAACAATTAGTTATACTGCTAGCCCTAACTAGTGCACAAAGAATAAAAACATTAGCTGCAATCGCATTAAGTAATATAGAATTTACTGATTTAGGAGTTAATATAAAAATAACTAGCTTATTGAAAACTTCAGTGCCATCCAAGGTTCAGACCATTTTTGTACTCCCATTTTTTCAGTCCAAACCAGAGATCTGTCCAATAGTTACATTAAAGTCCTACATTAATCAAACTAAAATGTTAAGAAATTCTAATAATACCGAAAAGTTGCTTCTGTGCTGCAAAAAACCTCATGGGAGTGCCAGTAACAAAACAATTAGTAGGTGGATAAGACAAATCATGTCAGATAGTGGTGTGGATGTTAAAAAATTCAGACCTCATTCTACGCGACATGCCTCTACTTCCTTAGCCCGTCGAGCAGGTGTTACATTAGATACTATTTTTAAAACCGCAGGTTGGTCTGAAGGTTCTAAAGTGTTTGCAAAGCACTACAATAGGCCTTTAACTAGTCAATCAAATGATAATTATGCATTTGCGAGGGCTATGTGTAACTCGGATTAAATTTTTACTGATTTTGTGTAATCATCTAGGAAGGAGATAAATACTACTGTTGTTTTATGTTTCTATGTAGTAATTTGTTTTTAAAAAATACATGTGTTTTTTTATTCATTGTATGTGGTTTTTTCAGTTGTTGTAATATAGTGTTCCCGCTACAACTCCCAGCCTCTAAATAATTATCTACTAGTGATTATATGAAGGTTGTCTCGGACTAAGCATTTCATATAATTGTAAAATTAAACGAACTTACCTTAAGTGAAGTTTTATGAAAATTATATGAGATGCTTAGTCCGAGACAATAGACACCCTCCCATCCCGAATACTCATCATAATTGCTGATATTCACCCCTATATCTATAGCTGGGAGTGGTAGATTCTCGTTTTTTCTAGGATAGCTCTAAAATAATGACGCATAAGTATAGTGTTGCCATGGTGTGGATTTTTTGTCGCATTCGCTTCTCTCTAAATCACGCGATGGCACAATGCGAGGATTGTGAAACTACTAGTGATTATATGAAGGTTGTCTCGGACTAAGCATCTCATATACTTTCCATAGAACTTCACTTAAGGTAAGTTCGTTTAATTTTACAAGTATATGTAGCATCCTTTATGTTGTTATTCTAACCCAACCAATTCAAACAGTAATATAACTCTACCGAACATTAAAAGTTTACATCAAATATTATCAAGTACCATTAAGTTTAAAGTAGGTTTAACCATTCCATTTTATTCTCCAAAGATAAAATGCTTCATTTATAAATTATAAAGTAGTACTTAAATATGTGATGGTTTAAAAAATCAAAAGGACTGTAGTTTCTTAAAATTTATTATTTACGAAATAAGTGTATGCTTTTTATGTTTCAACTTTTCTTTTGACCTTAACTTGTCAAGCACCTACTACAATACGTTTAAGATGAAAAGCAATTCATTAATCAGATGAAGCACCACTCCGTAGTGCACTTTAAAAAATTGCAGTATAACATACTTCGTTCACTTTATATATTATTCACAAGATAAATCTCTATACATTCTACGTTGTTGTTCTCAAAGACTCAGTACGTAAGAATTTAAACTAATTAGCTTCTTTCAACATTCTGTAAGATATAACCTGTAGACGAAGTTTACTGATACTATAAGGGATAGAGGACAATACAGAGGAGCATTATAAAAAGTTTAGGGTCATCCGATCGCCGGCGCCGGTAAGTTTTACTGTTAGCAGTTTTTCCTATCGATAGAGAACTTTAAGGGATCTTTTAAAAATAACGAGCCATTATGGTAAAGAATAGTTTCAATCGTTGGGGTTCTTGGTGAAGAAAGGAATTGTCTTGCAATTCTGAAATACTACGTAAGCTACGCAATGTTTACCTGATAGTACTCGTTATTGTATAAGTCTTTCTATAGTATTTATAGGTTAAAGTGTTTGCTATTAGTAGTAACTCTTTGCTTGCAACTAATGTGTAAATGAATTTGCTTCACAAATCAACCTTAAATATAGACGTGAAATGTAAACAAATGAATTTGGAATAGGGAGCTAACTTTTTGGTACGAAATTAAAAAATAACAACAGCAAAGCGTACCGCTTGACATATTGAATGAAAGCATCCGTTTGAAGGTTTCATTACTAATACATTTCTTTATTATTTTAAGAATGAATATTATTTAAGAAAACAAGTGAAAATTGAGACTCCAGAAATATCAACAACAATCCAACAAGATTGTTGGAAACTCAGCAAAAAAGATGTATTTGAACACAAGTTCAAATTGATGTATTAAATGTTGTAGCTAAAATTTTTTTCTAACTTTTAATTTTAATTTGGCACATATTTACACACAGTTTGGTACAGTTAAATGTCACTTTCGTTATTAAAATCAGAATTAAAAACGATTATAAATACTGAAACCAAATAGTTTTTTTTTGTTTTAATACTATTGCTATTATTTTAATAATCATTATATTTGAAATACAATGTAATTTGTTTATTAATAAATGACTATGACTATGATAAACTTGTGACGTCATTTATCAACTCATCGTCAGCCGAAAGACGTCCACTACTGGACATAGGCCTCTCCCAAGGGTCGCCACAACAACCGGTTCTATGCTGCCCGTATCCAACGGCTTTCAGCGACCTTCACCATGTCATCGTACCACCTAGTGGAGGGCCTACCCACGAATTATTAATTATTTAATCATTTGTGGATAGGTTTTTTTTTATTTTTGAAGTAAATACCAATAACTCTATATAGCCACAATTAGAGCCCATGAACAAACATCGTAATGTTTACAAAACCTGGAAAGTGTTTCCTTATATTTAGTAACTCGGTTTAATATCAGGCGCCGTGGTTGAGGTTTTCGATTTACCGCTTCTAAAACTTTCTAAAGTGTACGCCAGCGGCATTGAGATGAGAGATTGTTGCAATATTGAAAACTTTGCATTTGAATGAAATCCTAACTTTTGGAGTACTTAAGCGAAAACAATTTTCTTGTTGCAGATCGTTCACAGGTTGCTTAATTGTGCGTACACGACTTCGTTGTTCCACTATTTTTAATCATATATTTTTCATTTGGGTATTTAAAACTATAATACTACCACAAAAATCACGGTGATCTATGATACTGCTAACACAGCTTTATAGTTTACTCTACATTTAATTTAGATAAGTTTTCTTCATAAATAACTATGAACTTAGTTCGATTTTTTGTTTCAACAATCCTCTCACGACTTGGACGTATATGATGCGTGTTTACATAAATATGTATATCCTTATTCCCCTTGATGTATACGTTCAGACACCCGTAAATTTGCGCTCCACCATATGTGTACCAATGCTTAGTTCGAATGTTGACTTCTACATTATAGCCGATGGATTGAAAGCTACCTTCAATCGTTCAGTCAAACAATCGAATATCACAAGAAAACACATGCAAACCGGACACTAGTGTTTTTTTAATCGCAGAGAAGCAAATAATTGATTAACTAGATATACGAGGGTTCTAATTTCGAAAGATTTGAAAGTAACCATCCATGCATGAATACTTTAAATTACTAATGTATTGTATTATTATTATTATTTTATGAACAACACTGTGTATCTTTGTATTTGAAAGTTTAAAATAAAAAAAATAGTACTTAAATGAACATTAAACACGTCTGACTGAGTATTCGCTAATATTTGACGGGCCTGTTGGTGTAGTAGTTAGTGACCCTGACTGGACCGGAGGTCGTGGGTTCGATTCCCATCCAGGACAAATATTGTAAATATAGAAGTATGTTTTCAATGGTCTGGTTACCATAGCACAGGCTCTGCCTATTTTGGGGATCAGACGGCCACGTGGGAGATGTGTGAGATATATTATTATATTACACCTAAAAAATACATCTGCCGATATCTATTGCTCAATAATGATACTAGTAAATAATCTCACCAGTTAAGTATTTAAAGAGTATTTTTTATAAGCACTTAAAAACCAGTTACAAATCTTTTTGAATACGTGACCTTAAATGCACCCATTTTCAATTTCTTGTTTTCTTGACTGCAAATTTACAAAGTGCCATGTTTATATGCCATGTATACTACTAAATACTCTAAACTTTTCACGGTGTCAAATAAGCGGTATTGCTTGCATTTTCAATGCCAACAAGTCGCATTGTTTCCCGCTTCGAAATCACAACGACGAATACACAAAGTTTCTGATAGGGCGTGGAACTAAATCATAGTTATTTTCATAGTCATAAGCATATGTATAAAGTTGCATTTATTATATCTTCCGAATTAATACCATTTACGTTTAGTAGGCCAAAACCTCCTTTCTAAGGAGAGGCCTATATCCAGCAGTGGACTTTTAAAGGCTGTTGATGATGATGATGTTTAAAAAAAGTAAGTAAAAAACATTATAAAGAAAGTAAACCAAAAAGCGAAAATATCACAACTATTTACATTTTTCAAACTACATTTGCTAATAAGTCACCAATTAGTTTAGTCAGGCTTTGAAGGAGCAGAAATTATATTTCCTAGCAATGTCGTGTACACTTCGCTCTGACCGTCTGATGGTTTTTATTTATGATATATTTATTTTTTCAAGACAAATCCCGCACTAGAAATATAATTCTGTGTAGCGGGGGACTTACAAACACACATGAAATGGACACAAAGAACACCCAGACTGAGAACAACAATTTATGGATCACACAAAGCGTTGTCCCATGTGGTCCCACTCGGCGTGGTAGGTAGCCATTTGTGCATTGATAGCACAATATTTAGCACGCATGTGGATAGTATTGAAAGGTTCCACATTGATTGAACACAAGTTTGAACAAGCAAACATTTTGTTGATCAATTTTTCTTTTGTCAGTGTGTAGTCATAATGCTGCTGCCCATGTCTTCAGTTCACTGATCAGAGCAGTCGCCATCAAATTTCATCATAATGCTATGAAAAAAATATTAAACACGAATCGAATTTATTAGCAAATTCTAACTTTGAACTATCACGTTCCATGATATATATAATTATGTTTACAAGAATTAACGAGTAAGCACAGGCAGTCAGCCTGTGAACACAGCTAGTGCAACCTGAGGGCCTAGTGTAAGTTTATTTAATATTTACTCGCTCTCGACGTCGAGCGCATTTAGCGTTGCGATTTATGACGATTTCAGTGCGGGCCAATCGCAACATCGAACGTGGTAACCGTAACGAGCGCCTTGACATGAAATAAACTTGCACTTGGCCTCTAGTATAATAGACCAAAACCTCCTTTTTAAGGAGAGGCCTATGTCCAGCAGTGGACTATTAAAGGCTGTTGTTGATGATGATGATGGCCTCTGGTCGAAAAGTGTAAATGTACTTAATACCTACCGTGAACGTGTTAATTCCCGTAAATATTACGTAAATATTATTTATATATATATACATATTTTTTTTTCTATTCAAGGGTAGTTAATGTTATCACTAAATATATATTTACATATTTATATTACATACATATTTACAATACATTAAGTATTCTTAGATATTACTGTAGGTGTAAGCATCTTTTTAATTAGATTAACTTTATAGATGAAAATTATATTAATAATATCACATCCCACACACGGCCTTCCGAACCTCAACTAGGTAGAGTCAGTGTAAACTAGACAACTTATAAATATTTTTACATATTCTTAAATGTATAATTTTATAGTTCAAAGTTTTCTGAAACTTAGTATACATATAACATAAAAGGGTTAACTCACGATCAAAGGAATCACGTGTTAATTAGGGAAACAGCAAATAATTTATCCACAGGATATTTTTGCTTCAGCACGTAAAGGACAATAGCACTGCAAAGAGAAGGAAAAAAAACTGGAAACAAACCCGCCTGGAAAGCGTGGTGTAATAGGCCAAAACCTCCTTTCTATTGAGAGGCCTATATCCAGCAGTGGACTATGAAAGGCTATTGATGATGATGATGATGATATAATAAAGGCCAATTCGACCATAGTGATATAAAGCCGATGCTGACCAATTCTCTCGTTACATTTTACCAAGTAAGTGAGGTTGTCGGCAGAGCATCCTTCCCTATTCTGATGGGGTTCATCTTGGGGGTTGCTTGTGACTCTTTGGTTGCAGGAGTCCATAGGGTTATGGTACTTACTTATTACTTACGCATTTGCCATCAGGTTTCCGGTCTGCTTGTTTACCCCCCTTTCCTATTTAAAAAACAAATCTTAACATTATATTTGTATTTTTTTATTAGAAATACAGAAGTGGTCCATTTTAAGCGCCAGTTCAATATTGGTTACTCTCCCTTATATGAGATACAAGAACACATATATTCTGAATCCTCCTCTGAAAAAACAGTTTTAAATAGTAAAATTGAAGTGTATATTTAAGCATCCATTTTTACGTTGAAATGTTGGACAGATTGAAATGTTTGATGTCAATGGTTGTCGATTACACTGCAAAACCAACTATATAAAACTTTTGCCTCGTCTTCAAGTTATGATTTATTTGGAATTAAGAAAAGAAGGTGGGTAGCACTTTTATTCAAATATTTCTTGTTTATTTTTTAGAAACCAATTCCGGACTTACATTTGTTAATATTATTATGTTTTTGTCGAAATTGACATAAGACAACTTTTTTCTCACATAATTATTAGAAAAATTTGAAAAGTTAAAACGGCTCAAATACTATTAAATGGAATTCGTTAAGCGGTTTCTAAAAATACAATCCGATACACAATGTGTTTGTTTCATGTATGTTTGTCTAGGCTTTTTTTTCAAAACCGGCAAAACCTAACCAAATTTTTTTCTTGGCTCAGTTTTATATGATTATTAAAGCAAACTTCACGAAAAAAGATCTGTTTGTCGCCTATTATATTAATTAAATCTTTTTTTTTTTTATATTTGTGCTCAGCGTTTTTGTACTCCGTTTTTTTTCAATGGTGATTATTTGTGTTTTCTTTGAACATATTGTGGCAAAATCATATCATGAAAAATAAAAATCATCTAAAACACAAACATTTTGAACCAACCAATTTTGAACCATTTTGAACATGATTTTCTTAGAATTTATTGTTTAAATGTCTGTAGAATGTTCTCGAGCTTGGTATGAGTGATGTAAACACGTCGTACATTTTATAATAAGTTATAACAAGTCTAATATCGCGTGAAGTCAAACTTTTTTTTATTTCAAAGGTTCATATGAGAAATAAGTATATGACGATAGTGTCATTTATTATTGTAAATAAAGTTCTGAAACGTAAGATGTTATTCTAAAAAAACATAATGGAAG